GCCGGTGCGATCATGCGTTTTGTGCAATTCCGCCCATCGAACGATTGCCTGTTAATGATTTTCACTGCTTTGTACTTTAGTCTGTGCAAAAATACTTGAAACGTTGAAAAATAGTTAAAAATTTCACGCACCGACGCATGAAAGTTGAGTTTGAAACCTTGTAGAGTGAATATCCTTCCGTGATTTCCAAGATAATAGTTTACCCGTCAAAATTTTTACGAGGCCGTAAGTGATAGCTAAAAACGCCGGAACACTGAATTTGAATTTGTAAGGTCATCCGTGGGCAAGGTATCATCACCCTAAAATTCCAGCTTTGTAGACTTTGTGGTTCCCGAGTTAATAATTTACTCGCAAAAGATTTTCGCGGGACCGCAAGCGATACTCGAGACTGCGAGAACGCTGAATTTGAATTTTCAAGGTCGGCCGCGGACAGGGGTCATTGCCCCAAAATTTCAGCTTCCTAGATTCTGTGGTTCCTGAAATAATAATTTATCCGTCAAAAACTTTCACGGGGCCGTACATGTTACCCGCAGACAGGGGAAAGCTGAATTTAAATTTTTTGGTTAACACGGAAGTAAGAAGGCTGAAATTTTGTGGGCATGCCCACAAAATTTCAGCCTTCTTACTTCCGTGTTTCCCGTGATAATAATTTTACCCACCCGAACTTTTATGGAGCCGTAAGTGTTACCCGCGGGTAGGTACGGGGAGGCTGAGTTTAAACTTGCGAGGTCGCACGTGGATGGGGAACGTCCTCCAAAATTTTTAGCACTCTAGCTTTTGTGGTTCTCGAGTTGAAAGTTGCGGACAAATTGCTGCGGACAAACACACAAACACACACAGTCAACCCTGTGACAATATGCGTTTTGCATTGCTGTTACACAGCACAAATCGCATAATAAAGAGCTTGAAAAGGAGTTGGATTTTGGAACTGGAAAAGATCTGTATTATTTTGCTTAAGTTGATTTATCTACAGATTGATGTTGTAAATGAAGAAGGTCATCATTTCGCTGCTGATCCACGCATTTCCATTTATCCCGATGATAGCCCTGTATTTTTGGTTTTCTCGAAGCCATCGTTGCAGAATATTACGGATTTTAGTAAGCCGGAATCAATACTTACACTGTTTCTCAGCTATCGTCCTCTAATTGGAACAACGAATTTGACAATTGCTGGTGATATTGCACTTCTTGACGGCAGCAGGGTGAGAGGGGAAAAAAAAATTTTTTTTTTGAACTTATGAAACGCTACGACTTATAAATTTGCATATACCGCGGAAAGGAAAAGCTTGTAGATCTCAGTGTCTTTCAGTCGCAGCTGCCATTCGTGCTGCTTTATGTGCACTGTTAACTCGGCCAAAATTTAATTTAATAAAAAATTAGCTGTTACGTTCCAGGACGTCGTTCATCTTTCGGAATACACACCCTTCTCTTTTAGCAACTGTTTGTGGTACCTTATCGAGGTATTTATACAACTTCCGCTGTATTTGATTTTCACATCACGGTACGGGATGAACTGAGTGCCCGGGATCCGGCACATTTTGTTGATGATGCGCAAATAATTTTG